CACGGGCACCTTGTACTTCTCCGTCGCATCGGATAGTGTCTTTTCAACGAAGATCCAGGAGGCTGTCGGCTTAGGGTCGGCTTTCACTTGGCATTCGATGGTCATCGCCTTCCTGTCCGGCGAATCCGTGATAGAAGGAGGCCCAAGGAATTCCGGGATTACTCCCTCGCCAGCGGGAACTGTCAGAGATTAGAGAATGTAGAAGTTATGCTGTACGATTAGTAGGCTTGATACAGTTAGGAAGCACTGCTAACGTAAGTATTGAGCTTGGATTTTAAAGCTATGCGCGCGCGTGCTTGAGTGAATGAGTGAGTGAGTGAGTGAATGAGTGAGTGAGTGAGTGAGTGAGTGAGTGAGTGAGTGAGTGAGTGAGTGAGTGAGTGAGTGAGTGAGTGAGTGAGTGAGTGAGTGAGTGAGTGAGTGAGTGAGTGAGTGAGTGTGTGAGTGAGTGAGCGAATGTGCGCATATACCTGCGTTGGATACGTGTGCAACTCAAGAACACGGTAATAAGTCGACCAAATGTACATACTGAACACTAACAACGACATCTGAAGACTATGTGTACCGACACCACCACCGCAGTGTTAATAATAGGTATACCTCCAAGGTTCAGGTTGAATTTCGCTGAGTTCTCTCCCAGTGCATTATATGCCTTCACCAGGTATGTACCGGAGTCCTCGAGCGTAGGGGCCTGTAAAATGAAAAGTTAGAAATTAGTTACGTTCGGCTATCACAATGAAAAACACGTTTGTATATCTAACCTAATGCAGATATACTGAAGGCGAACTTTACGGCTGATATTTTATTTTTGCGGATGGCCAGGTTGACATTTCTCATCAAAACATTGCCACGACGACCAGAGTGATAATTTTCGTAAAATAAATTGACGCGCAAGTCTATTATAAGTGTCTGATAATTACCTGTGTGTATAAGTATACTTGCATTTCGGTCAATGTTGTAATTTCTCTTCTTTATAATTATTTAACCATTTTCAAAAGTATCTTTATTGACGATTTATATGACCATTAAAACTCAGAGGCGCTAGTTAGTGCGACGATTATAAGTTACAGATATAAGTGACTGGCTTATAAGATATACTAAGTGACAGATATCTTAACAGCAGACGAACGCATATCTTCACTTATAATAGTATTAGCGGAGAGAAGATCGGTGGCTGTCGGCAGATTGTCGTCAGATGTCGTAGATTAGCACGATAGATGAGTATAAGTACCTCACAACTCTGATTGAAGACAGATTCTCGAACCGAAAAAATAGTCGCCACGTGGATATGAAGATAAATGCCACTTGATGAAATATGTTTAATACTGGGTGTTTTTTAATAATTTGTGTTTCTATGCAATGGCGATTTCGAATGTAATTTATCCAGCCATGTTACTATACGCGTTGATGGGAAGCCAAGCGGCAATGTTACTGCAAATCGGACGCGTTCCTACATTTTGTGATAGCCGCTTCCTCTATTTCCCATCCATATTGACCATGCAATTTGCGTGCAAGGAATAAAGAGCATCCACGGCCACATGCTCGGCGTAATAAAGCACCATAGTCAACGGCAAGGAGTGTAGACAAGCAAACCAGGTTGTGGCGCCCGTCTCACTAAACCCCCTAGTTATAATTTTATAAACCGTAAATTTAATTGAAGGGGTGATCGAGAGAGGGGTGGGGTTATATATATATACGGATAACTAGACACCGCCGTAAAATTATTCGAAGGAGTGGTAGTGGTTCTATATTCGGATATACAGAATATAACTGGACACCGCCGTAAATGTATTCGAAGGAGTGGTAGTGGTTATATGTCCCTTCCCATACCGTGATGGTGAGCGTGAACACTTGAGTTCCGTCCTTGTTCTCTTGCGACTTCATGCGATAGCGTTCGCTGTCCTGCATAAGGTTTTCGTCGTCGGGACTGTGATGGTACCAGCGGACGCGCGCCTGTGGATCGGACTTCACCAGAGCCTCCATGACAACCTTGTTGCCTGTCTGCTTCATCACAGGATCCTTCGTGAACAGCGGCCTCATGATGATTGCCTCGTGACGCTACGACAAACTATAGTGATGTAGAGAAAAGGGGGAAATAAACAGTTAGCGGAAATAATCTCAATGCCTTAGTGAACAGTAATTATCTCAGTGTCTCAATGAACAGTAATTATCTCAATGTACTGAGGAGTATTTCAAGTTTTACGCAGAGAAATGACGATCTCTACGACGACTACGACGACGCTACGGCGAACTACAGCGATGTGGATGAAAGAGGAAAATACACCGTTAGCGGCAAATTAGCTCAATGTATAGGTGGTAGTATGAGTAGTATGAGAAGTCTTTTAAGTTTTTCGCAGACAAGGTACCTGCGTGTAATACACGATTTGCTCGAGCTTACACACAGTACCAGTTAATTTAATTATCACGAAAAGTTAAGGACTACATACGACAGAACAGTTTAACGGTATCTTTAATACCATTTTGAAGCCCGACCAACAACCAATCTTGGTAGCGTTATAAAATTGATGCTACATGTGCAGCGTATGTGGTAACGTTTCGAGTTTAATCATCAAGGAATCGAACCGGAACCCTTACAAGTAAAAATAATAGTTGCAAACGAAGAATTTGACCTTGAATGATTTTCGCGGCATGTGACGCGTTGGGACGATTTATTTTAAGATTTACGCTTCCCGTAACTAAAGCTGATAGGGTCTATGTCCCCCAGGGTACTGCCGGAACGTAACCTGGGTACGGTCCGGTATACCGGAACGTCGACTCTCTAGACTCGTTAGTGGAGTAGGCGAGGTACGGTCCGGCATATTAGATAGTAGTATTTAGTACCAGAGTACGTTTCGGTATACCGGACCGTACCCAGGGTACGTTCCGGCAGTACCCTGGGGGACATAGACCCTATCAGCGTAACTAAACCATGTCTGCATACCAAACACAGCCAACACGTCACACAGCGCCCAAAAGTAGCCGATGTTATTGCAAAAACAGGAATAAAATCATAACAAATTCGACATTGGATCTGGGTACGAGCGTCCCGGGCTATCTTTCAATTAAGTAATAATCCGGAAATCAAATTTGAGAATCGGTAATATTATCTTCGCGTTGTTAAATGTAGAAGCTCATCTTAACCTTCATATACTATGTTGGCTGCTTCTGAGATGTCATATAATGGTTTACATCAAACGTACTGCAAGCATTTGACAATGAATTCCGGTAATGATTGATAATCTTCGCTGTAAGTCAGAACATTACGTACAGTTTTCAATTAATCGCAGCGTTGAGGGCCAGACATCACTAATGTATAACAGCTGCGTAGCGTCGATGCTATTTCAAAGATGCGTAAGTAAGTGTTCGCCGCAACATTCGTAACGTTACAGCGCCATTACGTAATCTATCAAGTCAATATAAACTACATCTCGATAAGCTGACAGGTAGACGCTACCGCGAGTGTGAAAAAACGGATTCTCTCGCGCGCTACCGTGGCGTTGTATCACGTAGTTTCGTCCCCTCACCGGCGTGTTTTATGATGTTGCGTAAACTGCTCGGGAATGCTCGCCTAATGTGACGCATCAACATAAACATATATGTAGCGTGTAGAATCAACAGAAGATACATTTACCCACGTCATTATTGCAGCACATCATAGAGGTATTAGACGTAGAGAGAGAGAGAGAGAGAGAGAGAGAGAGAGAGAGAGAGAGAGAGAGAGAGAGAGAGAGAGAGTGAGATATATCCCGCTATCGTATCTAGTTAATTTCCAATGTGGCCGCCGACGCCAGGTGCAGCTGCATAGTTCTGATATAATGCACTTCGGTTTACGAAACACCGTTACGAATGACTTAGCTTCCAAGTAGAGCGGGTAGAGTCGGTGGGATAAAGATAGCTTTATCAGCCCTTCTCTCATCGAGCCGCGAGTCATCTCCGCTCAAACTCAACACCTCAAGCACATTTTTTCGCCCGTAATAGGGTTAATGATGCCTCCTGCGGAATCTACCCGCGCGCGAATAAAATCGGGGACATGGCCAGGCCGAGGTTAAACCGCCAGCGAGAGTGTCGGTTAAAGCGTAGTTACATATTTCCCAAATGCGATCTCAGTGTGTGGGCGGCCCGGCAAAAAAAAATTTCCCACTTCAGTTCCGGACCACAGCCAATCAGCGCACTCCATTCACTCGACTTCTTCGAAGCAACAATGTAAAATGAATACCACCTATACCTAACCCTAACCCTAACCCTAACCCGAACCCGTACCCGAACCCTAACACTAACTATAATCCAACCATATATATACGAACGACATATTACAAAACACTATCTATGGTGGGTCCGGAACTCAAGTGGGAAAAAACGTTTCGCGTGGCGGACCGACCCTGTGTTCTTTGCATCGCCGGCGGTGATGCATCGCTACTGCGCATGCGCCGACGCAATCCCCGTTTCCGATTCCGCTCGTGCAGACGATACTGTGGAGTAGCACGCCGATGGCGGATGTGATCGCGCGATGGCTCTAGCGTAGCCTACTGCCCAAGTGGCGCGCGCGTTTCAAGTGCGAAATGTAAACCAAGCCGCAGCTGCTCGCTATTTTCCTGCTATTCGGTTACGCGCGATGGCTCGCGCACCTCGCCTACATAGCCTTTAGTGTTGGCTTCTGTCGAAGTCGTTAGCCGACATAGTAAATCATTGAGCAGTGAAGCGCCACCATCTGCGCGGAGCGGGGGCGCGTGCTAGCTATAGCGAGTGCCACGGCAGCTGCTGCCGCATAATGTGAACATCAACATGAACTGATCCGCTTACTGTAAACACGTTATACGCGCGCGAGTAAGCCGAGTGTGACGTTTTATAATAATCAAACAATCGTGATGGTGGTAGATGCAAGCTGGCATCCTGTGTTTAATGCGTATTTATCGACCTGCCGGTCTCTATCTCTCGCCTACCCTCTCTCTTTCTCTCTCTATGTCTCCCTGTCTCTCTCTCTCTCTCTCTCTCTCTCTCTCTCTCTCTCTCTCTCTCTCTCTCTCTCTCTCTCTCTCTCTCTCTCTCTCTCTCTCTCTCTCTCTCTCTCTCTCTCTCTCTCTCTCTCTCTTTCTCTCTCT